ACGAAAACCCCCTACTTCTTTCTACACAGTTTCACTTTCTGAATACTATATTTTGAAAGGATATTATTTTAAATAACGCATAATATTTTTTCCAAAGCCAACATACAACAACATACTATAGCTTGAAGTATGTCTAAAAGCTCGAGTATTTCTTTATTAACTTTGAGCTGTATTATTGAGATACCTTTAGCGTCTAACAATCAAGAGCAATTGTGAACTTTGTTAGGTTTGTTGATAGTCAAAATCACCATACTTATGTTTTTCATTAAAAGTTTAAGGCTATTATAGTAAAAGATAAAAAAGTTACTTAGAGAGCAAAAAAGAAGTTCAAAGTGACCTTTATAAAAAATAATCAAAGAAGACATAATACCATCCTTTTGAGGGTCACCCTTTTTGGGAGTTAAAGGAATGGATCTCCAATATGGAGATGGGTCTTCAAGAGAGAAACATAGCCTTCGAGAGAGATGCGGTATTCCCATGAGTTTTGGATTGGTAAAGCTTTTACTTCTAGAGAGAGGTATTGCGGTGTGAAAGAGGATATTAATCGATGATGTTGCTCTGTCAAGAGAGTGGATTTAAAAGGGAAGATCGATGATAGTCTTTTACCGATGTTTAGAGAGAGGTATATCACTGGTAATCCAAAATTGTAATCTTCATTGAGATAGTGGATTTCTACTTGCCAATGCCGTGTATGTAGCTCTACGGGGTGAACCACGTAAATTATGTGTTGTTGTGGTACACTTTTTTATATTTGCTTTATTTCATGTACTCAATTTATAATTGTATTCATCTACTTCTCATTTAGCCAATCATATACACGATTTTGGGTGGGATCCTGATATTTGGGATTCTTGGTTCCACAAGCTAGGGGTTCTCGAGAACCCTAAAATTGGTATCAGAGCACAAGGTGTGTACATGGCTAAGGCTTGCATTAAGAAAAAGATGAATGATGGAGTTTGATGGATACATGGCTTGTGGTGGAGAAATATGGAGGCAAAGTATTCGTAAAAATTTTACAATTAAGGCATGTGTGAAGAAATCAAGAAATCTATCTGATGAAGGTCACCAAGGCACTTATGATGATTTTCTATCAAGGTGGAGATTGTTAGGTTTGGTGATAGTCAAAATCACAATTCCTATGTTTTCATTAAAATATTAAGGGTATTATGGTAAAAAAAAGAAAGGGTTTCTTGGGGAGCAAGAAAGAAGTTCAAAGTGATCTCTATAAAAGAGAATTAAAAAAGACATAATACCATCCTTTTGAGGGTCACCCCTTTAGGAGTTATGGGAATGGATCTCTAATATGAAGATTGTTCTCCAAGAGAGAGACATGGACTCCTAGAGAGTGGTGGTATTCCCATGCATTTTAGGTTGGTAAGGCTTCCATTTTTAGAGAGAGAAAATCTCTCGGATGCTCTCGAGGTTATCTTTCCGGTTATGGTATTGTGGTGAGAAAGAAGATGTTGATCGACAGTGTTACTTGGTCGAGAGAGCGAGTTTAGAAGGAAAGATCGGTGATGGTTTTATCGATGTTTAGAGAGAGGTACATCTCTTGTAACCGAAAACTGTAATCGTCATTGAGATAGTGAATTTCTATTTGTCGAGGCCATGAATGTAGTCCTATAGGATGAACCACGTAAATTGTGTGTTTTTGTGGTGTACTTTTTTATGTTTACTTTATTTCTTGTACTCAATTTATAGTTGTATTCATTTACTTTACATTTAGCCAATCATGTATATGATCTTGGGTGGGATCCCGGTATTTGGGATTGCTAGCTCATCAAGCTAGGGGTTTTCAAGAACCCGACACTTTATATACTAAATGAATATAGTATTATTGACTTCTTTTCCTGATGATATTGGACCACAAAATAATAATTAATCGGCATGTGAGTGAAGCGGAAAATTGGTTGTGGAATTAGTATGTAATGGGGAACTTCAACATTCAAATCAAGTTTTTTTTTTAGGGAAAATATCTTCATACCCTCTATTTTTAATATTTCACAATAGATCCAAAGTTTTAAAAGATATCTTGGGGCATTAAAATTGTAGATTTTATTTCTTCTAACTCCCTGAGCTAATTTAAACTTGTATTTTTAGGCCAAACAAATTTAAAAAGATGTATTTTCTAAAAACCATCTTCCCAAACTTCCAGAGAGAGAGAAGGGCTTCATGGAGGTGAGAGGTTATCAAGAGGAGAAAGAGAGGTGTTTGGAAAAACATGGGAGGAGAGAGAGAGAGTGAGAGAGACGTAGGAAGAGAGAGAAATGATTGGGTTTAGAAATAGCATGTCTTTCTCACATTTGGTTAGATTAAAATATAAGTTTAAAGTGACCAGGGGATTAGAAAATATCTTTTAAAACTTTGGGTTTATCAAGAAATAATACTTAAAAATAGGGAATACGGGGATATTTTCCCTTTTATTTATTTATTAGAATTTTTTGGGAGTCTTAAAACTCATTAATTAATATTAAAGGTTCACGGGCTTTAATATTAAATAACAACAAAAATAAATAATATTCAACAAAAAATAGAAAAAATATAATAAGATTATCTATCTTGGTACAAGATGGTCACAATTAATCTTGATTGAAATTAGGTGATTGTATTTATTTCATTGACCAGTTTAAAAAACAATTTCTTTTAACTATGTGAAATACCGAAGTTGGATGTATACAATCCCAAAGATAAAAAGAGTCTTGCTAGAGAACTATGTGAAATACCGTAGTTCGATGTATACAATCCCAAGGAAAAAAAGAGTCTTGCTAGAACACGAAACGGAAACTAAGAAATTTATCGCATCTAAATTTGATGGCAATTTTGTCTTAATGCACAACACAGCATCTTCAGGAAACCTAACAACGCCTTAAGAGAGAATTTGTACTTGACAACAGCCATACACAAAATTTTGGTTAAGGAAAAATTTTATACAGATCCGAGGTTTTAAACAATCAAATTAAAACCCACCTCAAAACATTTATGGTTTTGATGCTCAAATATCATCAAATTAATCATTTCAACATTAAGATATATCTACATGAGAGAAAATATAGATTTCATGTTTTGAAAATAATGTGCCATGTAACACATTTTTTTATTGTGAATTTTCAATATTTTCAGATTTTTATAGATCTACTTTATCTACACTGTTTTTGCATATTTAAATTTTATAACTAATATATATATATATACTATTTATAAAAATTTCAAATATTGAAACTACATTTCTTTGGCACTATTTGAAGCCTCGGCTCCAAACAAACCGTACCTTTTGTCAAATACCCATGTGCCCTTGTGATATTTCTATTTAAGGGACCATCTATGCAATCCCTGCAAGTACTCCCACCAAAATGGCATCAGTTCCCCAGTGGTTGGAGAAGGCAACACCAACTTCTTTCCTCGGATTTCTTCTCTTTTCTCTCTCTTCAATTCTTTTGTTTCTCTCTCTAACTCGTAGTAAGAGAGAGAAAGGCACCACCGCAGAAGCAAAGCTGCCTCCTGGCCCCCCTAAGCTCCCCTTAATAGGCAACCTCCACCAACTATCAAAGCTTGCGCATCGCTCTCTGAGAGACCTAGCCCTAAAGTATGGTCCTCTCATGTTCTTGCAGCTAGGTCAAGTCCCAACCCTTGTGGTGTCTTCTCCTGCCATGGCCAAGGCAGTCATGAAAACCCATGATCTCTCTTTTGCGAGCAGACCTCATCTCACCTCGACCAAGAATCTGCTCTACAACAGTAGTGACATAGCTTTCTCTCCCTATGGCTCATACTGGAGAAATATGAGAAAGATCTGTATCCTGGAGTTGCTCAGCATCAAGAGAGTGGAGTCGTTCCGGTTCGTGAGAGAGGAGGAAGTTGTGCGCCTGATGGAAACGATCGAGACGTCGAAGGGTACCGTGAACCTTAGCCACCTCTTCCTTTCTCTCACCAACAATATTACTGGTAGGATCGCCTTTGGACGGAGCTATGACAAGTTCTATGTGTTGCTAAATGAGCTACAGATTCTATTGGGAGGATTCAGCCTTGGTGATCTATTCCCATCTATGGACTGGATCGATGTGCTTACCGGAATTCAGGCACGCCAGAAGAAGAATTTTAGGGAATTGAATGCTTTCATCGACCTCGTGATAGAGGACCACCTTCATCCTCGTACTCGAGCTTCAAACCCGGAATTCAAGGACTTCGTTGATGTTTTGCTCGAAGTGCAGAAGCAAGCTGAACTGGATTTCCCTTTCACTCGGGACAACCTTAAAGCGGTCATCTTGGTACCTTATCTCTTGCTTTTGTAGGGGACTGATCTCGATCTGAAACTCCGATTTTGGATCCTATTCAGATCCGGGTATGGGTACCTTATCTTTCGTTTTTGTAGGGGACTGATCCGGATCTGAAACTCCTATTTTGGATCCTATTCAGATCCGGGTATGGATCCAAAATTTGGATTTTAAATCCGAATCCGGACCCAAAATTCAGGTCCAAATTAAAATTCAGATCGGATTTGAGAAAAGATGGATCTGATCCTACTATAAGCCATTTTTTTAGATTATAAATTGTAATTTACATATATAATTTATTTTAAAAACAACATATATAAAGAGTAATCCTGATCCAGATCTAGATCTGATGCATATTATTCAATTCTAGATCCGAGATCGTGTTTGGACACAGGTCCTAATCTGATTGGATCCGGCCCCTATCCAAACCGCTCTCACCCCTACTCTATCTTTCTCAACTTACAGTTTTCTCTTTGTAGGACATGTTTGCAGCTGGAACTGAGACCAGTGCGACAGTCCTAGAGTGGACAATGACAGAGTTAATGAAGAACCCCAATGTGATGAAGAAAGCCCAAAACGAAGGGCGAAAGGTCGCCAATGGCCGACAATATCTCTGCGATAACGACCTTTGCGAGCTTGAGTACTTGAAGCTCGTGATGAAGGAGAGCATGAGACTGCACGCACCAGTCCCCTTGCTCCTGCCACGAGAGTCTCTAGAGAAATGCAGCATCAATGGCTATGAAATCCCAAAGGGAACTAAGGTGATCATCAACGCATGGGCCATAGGCCGGCAAGAGGAGGCTTGGGTGAACCCGGAGGAGTTCAGACCCGAAAGGTTTATCGAGTCTTCCATAGATTATAAGGGTCAAGATTTCGAGTTGATTCCTTTTGGGGCAGGTAGGAGAGGGTGTCCTGGCATAGCTTTTGGTGTGGCCTCTTTCGAGCTTGCTCTCGCCAATCTTTTGCTACGTTTTGACTGGGAATTGCCTCGTGGGATGTGCCCGAATGACATTGACATGGCGGAGGAATTTGGGCTCACCATGCACAGAAAAGTTCCCCTCTCTCTAGTTGCTATTCCTCACCACCAACTCGACTGAGTTCATTATTATCATCATCCAAACTTTTGTTCTTATAATTCGGGGTTGGTTTCATGAATCTTAGTTTTTCCGTTTGCTTGAGTTCAAAATCACTATCATTAGACGCTTGAACTGTAAAAATATAATAAAAGCTTAGTTAAAGCATCATCATCCAATCTTTATTCCGATTACTTGAGGTGGGCTACACGAATCTTGTTTTTTTTTTCGGAATTCAAAATCAATAGTATACATTTAAGTCGTAAAAATATAATAAAAAAATTTTAATTGCAAAATATGTGGGTTGTTTTATTCATGTGTGCAAGCACGGGTGTATGTGGCCGTGTATCGCAGCACTAGGTCTATGTGCTCCAAAAGAACTGTCTGTCGTCAATTTTGTTGACGGACCGTCCAGAAGTCATTTGGACATCTGCATGGATATAGCGGAAGTTTATCTTTAGTTGCCTTTCTGGCCAATTACTTGGTTATAATTGAACTTTATCTTTACCTGCCTGTTTAGTCATCAAGATAAGCTCTTCTAAATAGTCATGATACTTTGTAAAATGACCAAGTTTACAATAATATTTACGAAGGCCTTTCCTTTTTTTTTTTTTTTTTTTTTTTTTTTTTTTTTACCATCTGTAAAACTGCGCCATTGGCAACAGTATACCAATAAACATAGTACTGAAATTTTATCCTTGAAAAGTAGTATGACAAGTAGATGTGCCATAAATTTAGGCACATTTATAAAATACTTTTATTGCCTAGGCTGAAAATAAGACCTTCAAAAGGGGTTTAGATCAATTTTTATCTTATTTTCTTCTTCTTTTTTTAAGATATTTAGTAGTAAGAATGGAACTTGAAATGTAATATCATTTGACATCAACTATTAGCCTCTCAAGTGCAATTCCTCATCGTCATCATTGACAGAGTTTTTTTTCAACTAACTTCAATTGGCTACACGAATTCTAATATGTTATTATGCTTTAAAAGAGCCTAGGTCCTCCATAATGAGACGAGTGGAGTCAACATCAGCAGAGGATTGTCTTACTTATAGCAAGGGATTGTCTTAGTTGTCTTCCATATACCGTATAAAACTAGTGTATGACAAACTTTTGCATACAAACTGCCACTTAAACATCTTCAAAAACTAGTGTATGACAAACTGTTGCATACAAACTGCCACTTAAACATCTTCAAGTAGAAGTAGGTATTGATTTAGTTATTCAGACGAATTGTTTCCCCTTCCAAATTGAAAATGATTCCTCGTTGTTGGTTCAGGTTATACAAGGCAGCTGTAAATATCCGTGAGTATTTCGCACTAAAGTTGTTAACTGCAAGTTCAGACTTGAGAACTTTCCATGATCCATTTACCATGTTTTTCGTGAGGCCAATATGGTGGCCGATGCGCCACTTAAAAAGGTTACATTTTTCGCAGGCTATCATTTGGGCTCGAGGCCTCCAGACTTTCTACACCTACCTATACTTCATGATGTGGTGCAACTTCCCTATTCTAAGGTTGTATATTAGTATGATGTAATTTTTTCAATCTTATTAATAGAAACTGGGTAGGGAGCCTTCTCCCCCACTGACTTACGCAAAAAAACGTATGATTTTGAGAATGAGATGGGGGTTGGGGTTGTAGTGGTAATATCACTTGTATTCCAACAAAAATCTAGGCTTTCATTCTTATCTAAAGAATTTAAATACCACTAATGATACAAAAAACATATAGGTGCTTGTCATCCCCACAAATTTCATTTTCAACCAGAAAAGAGTGACCACCTTGCACAAAATTTTCTCTTTCAACAGTTAAAAGAGTGAAATACGAAGCGTTAGATTTGTTTATTTTATTTTATTTTATTTTATTTTATTTTAACGTTAAAAATATTCGCTTCTTGACACGCGTTAAATTTACTTGTCAAGAAGTCGACACCTTTCCTACGCAGGCAAAAGGCCTGGCAACGCTTGTTCTTCAAATGTACACGTAATATTCAGCATGGGGACTAGTATGAAAGCCTCTTCAAAAATATTGTAAATTACGAAAGCTTGTTCAAAAATATTGTAAGCTTGTTCAAAAATATTGTAAGCTTTCCTACGTATGAAAGCTTGTTCAAAAATATTGTAAACTATAAATAATAGAGCAATAATGCAAAGGGTATCGACGCTATATTTTTGTGTTTATATAATTTGGTGTTTCATCGCACCTAGGTCCGAGGCTCTAAACCATCAAAGTTGGGCGTGTTTTTAAATAGTATCAAAAAATATTTCAATATTTGATATTTTTGTGAAAACCTGAAGAAAAAAAACAATTTCATGGTTAATTAAAATATTTTAAGCGTAAAAAATAGCACATATTGAGCAGATCTATGAACAATTGAAAATCTTGAAAATTAACGGTCCAAAAATACATTACAAGATGCATTATTTTCAAGATTTGAAATCTTTTTTTTTTTTTCTGCCCAGACATCTCGATATTGAGATGATTAATTTGAGGATTTTTAGGCATTGAAACTACCTCTTCTAGTGAATTTTTGATGTGCGTCTTAATTTGATTATGTAGAGCATCGCCCTCATATAAACGTTTTCTATATAGTATAGTGTAGCAAGAGTTTAGGTTAATTTGATGTTTGAAATGTCAAATCGCCCTATAAATAAGATGGTTTAATTTTTTTTGATATCAGACTACTCGATGAAAATTAGAAAAACAAAGTAATAAAATAATAAACAACCTATCATCGTCATCAGAGTCTTTTCCAACTATTTGGGATCAGCTACACGAATCCAGATCCACCATTTTGCTTTATAAAGGATCATACTCTAGTGAAGTCATAAGTCCCCATATTTTTTTTCATTATTTTCAATCATGTCCTTTCAAGCTTTTTCCTTGCCCTTTTTTAGCCCTTCACTTGAACTAATTAACACATCCTAACAGGTGTTCTGCTGAGTCTGTACTACATAATAACCAACCCACCTAAATCTACTTTCTTTCACCTTATTGCCAACCTACCAAAATCTAGTTTCTTTCATCTGATCACCTTTTAGAGTCACACCTAAGTTATCTCAAGCGAATTTATTCTGATCATTATCCCTTCTTGTCTTATCATTCATCCATCTCAACATTCTCATCTAAGCTACATTCATTCCATAAATAGGTTGTTTCTTAACTGCCCAACATTTCTCTTCATGAAACAAAGCTGATCACACTGTTATCCTAAAATAACCAATAATCCCATATTTGAAAATCAGACAGATAAATTTTAAAAACTAAAAAATCAGTGCACCTAAAGAACGTGAAACTTACATATCAATGGGTAATTTCGGTAAAATTACCCAATCCCCAAGTAAATTTCCTTGAGAAAATCTTTCAAAGCGATCTCTCCTCTTGTCTTTCCATATATATTAATACTGGGTTGCGAAGAGGTAACTCTCTGTCTATATATATCTCTACAGCTGTATTAACTATTAATTACCACGGATTTTTCTCTTTTCAACCGGATGAAAGTGAAACAAAAGAAGTCGACACCTTCATACATGCAAAAAGACCTAGGTTACACTTGTTCTTCTAATCAACGTGTGAAAGATTCAGCACTTGGGGTTTTTTTTGGTTAATTTAGTGGGGAAGACAGGCTTCTACTTGTTTTTTCAATAGATTGAGTAGTTACATTTTAAAGGTGTTAATTGGGGGTGTCAGTATTACGAATGGAGTTACATTTTGAAGGTGTTAATTGAGGATGTCAGCAGTAAGAATGGAAACCACGACGCGGTAATTGGGTGTGGGGATGCTACCACCACGACCTCAGCCCGTTTCCTATGTAGCACTTGGGTTAAAAACTTTAAACTACACAAGCAATAGACTGTTGAGGTGTTTTCGTTTGGCTCCATGGGATAACAAATCTAGATTTGAAATTAAAATCTTATTATATCAAATATTTGTTATGTTCAAACATGGTTACTCAAGTAGGACTTATTTGAATGGCTTCAAATGATTATCAAATTATGTAAATCTCATGTTTGGATCATCTTTTTGTATAACGTAGTTTGCTATTAAGGGTCGCTTGGTACGGGAGAAAGTTTGAAAGCAAAATATTTACATGAAAAATATTCACATATGCAAATAATTTACCGAAAAAGAATATGTAAAGAAAAGAATACATAAGCATGCTTTTTCTCATGTTTGCCAAACACAATTAGAAACAAGAATTCAGAGAGACAACACATAGATAATTTCTCTTTTTAAAAGGTGGAGTACCAAAAGTGGATATTGTGGTGAATTTTCTGAATGTTATGTGGCAGACCTCATCAACGGCGACACACATGGGGAGATGGATTCCACCAGCTAGTAGATGTATCAAATTAAATTTTGATGGGAGTTCCATTAGAAATCCTGGGGCAGCCGGTGTCGGTGTTATTTTTAGAGATGCTGATGGTGTGATTATTTGCTGCTATTTTGGTCCGTGTGGTTATGCCATAGCTAATAAGGTGGTGTTGTTTGCCCAATTGTGCTGTTTAAAGGTCTTGAAGGATAGGTTTAATGGAGTTTGGTGTAATGTGGAAATGGGAATCTCTCAAGGTGCTAAATTGATGCAGGATAATTTGGAGGCCTCCCTGGTATCTTAGATCGATACGGTTGAAAATCATGGATGTTTTATCGGCTTTGAGGGTTGATTTTCATCATGTGTATAGGGAGGGCAACCACGTTGCTGGTTTTTTAGCGAAGCATGGAGTTAATAGTTCTCAGCTGATAATTAGTGACTCACTAACATTGTAATTGTAATGTTACGTTATGTATTATCAATAAAGGCTGAATGATTTTGACAAAAAATAATAATTTGAGCTAATTTCTCTCTAAAAAAATTAAAATTTAATGGAGTCATTTGCTCTAAAAGTTTTGAGAGAGTCTCTGTCTAAAAATTTGAAATTTTAGATAGTTGATAATTTCTCTCTCAAAAGTTTTTGAGATAGTTACTGTCTCTAAAAATTTGAAGTAGTTTCTCTCTCTAAAATTTGATATAGTTTCTCTCTAAAAATTTAAGATACTTTCCCGCTCTAAAATTTAAAATTTAAGATAGTTTATCTCTCTAAAATTTTTGAGATAGTTTCTCTCTAAAACATTTTAAGTAATATCTCTCTCCAAAATTTTAAAATACTTTTTCTCTCAAAAGAAAAATGGATGAAGTTTCTATAAGGCCTAGGCTTTATGAAAATAAAATAAAGCCTCACCTCAATTACTGGTCCGGAAAGCAATTTTGAAAAGAGAAATATCTATAATGGATCTAAAATCAATTT